GCCTAACTGAAACAGAAAAATAAATGATCTTCTATTGTTAAGTTTCTAGTTTTTCATAATTCAGCTTCCTATAAAGTTTTTAAAAAATTAAATATTTTACAGGACACTATCTTTGATAATAAGCAATGACATCATTTCCAGTTAAGAAAGTCCTCCTTTTTCTTGGTCTCCACAAATATAGTCAAATTGTCCCTGCAACTAACTGACACAGGCACCCCTCTCAACTGGCCATCTTTAATTACAATATTTTATGAGCAACACCCCTGTCTACCTAATAATTTACCCAATTATAACCACAGGTAGCATCAGGTACTGATCGATTTTGCCATTTGTGGGAATCTTCATTCACATGTTTACTAACTATTCAATGCCAGGCACTCACTGGGGTAGAGAGAGAACTAGAAAACAGTCTTTGCCCTTGAGTAGGTCATAGTGTTCTTGAGGCTCTCAGTCAGTAAGCAAGCACAGCAAGTAAAATTTACCTGAATAAAGGTATATCCTAAAACGCTGCAGTACAGAAAAAGATGCCCCCAATTCTGCATACGGCCAGGGAGTTTCACAAGGGAGACTTAAAGCTAAGCCAAGTCATAAAGACTACCATAAAGGAAGAAGTATTATAAGCAGTGGGTTGAGCATGCACTCAGGATGAGAGACAGCAAGGTGTGCTTGGCATTACTGGAGTGGAGGGTGTTGCTAGTGAGGAGATAGAGATAAGTTGATAAGGGGGGCAGCAGCCAACTCATGAAGAATCTTATCCTCCATGTGAAAGTTAGGACTTCATGCCACAGATTGTGTGGAGTTGCTTAAAGAAATAAACAACATGGTCAGACATGCAATGAGTTGAAGATAAACCTGGTTTGGTTTACTAGGTCAGTGGTTCTCCAAGAATGTACCCCTGAAACTCTGAGATCTTTTGGAGGTTCCACAAAGTCAAAACTATTTTCATAATACTAAAATGTTATCTGTCCTTTTACTCTCACTCTCTCATTAGGAAGGAGAGAGTGGAATTACCCAGACACTAAATGCGATGACATCGTTGCTCTGCTAGCTAATGGAACATGATATTCTTCTCTTAGAGTTCCAGTTTTACTTACTAATAAAGTAAATATCGATAGATATAACCCGCATAAACAAAAGCTTTTTGGTGTCCCCAATATTTGTTAAGAATATAAAAGGATCATGAGACCAAAATGTTTGAGAATTCCTGTGCCGGTGGTCCATGCCATTAACTTCTGAATAGGAATCAGAAGAAAGAACACCAGGTTTGGAAGGCAAGATTTAAAAATTTGAATTTGAATTAAAGATTTAGAATTCAATTTTGAATGTTTGTTTTAAGCTACTTAATAAACCCCATTTGATGGAGATGTCAGAGAAGCAGCTGGATCTTCCAGTCCAGCACATGGTTCTGGCTAGAGATAACACATAAGGTAGTTGTCAGTGACTAAGCAGCAACTGCGGGTCATGGATGACACTGCCCAGAGAAGACTGTATAGAGTGAAAAGATGCAGCATCCTCATAGATTAGGGAGAAGCCACCATACAGTGTTTACTGACAGCATAAAGCTACTGAACCAAAAGCGAGGTCACAATAGAATCCCCAGCCTTCCTTACCTGCTTTCCTTTGAGAAAGACCATTCCCTTCACTTTGGAATCAATATCCTCACCCAGCTGCTCTTTAAGTTCTTTCCAAGCATAACTAATGTTTGGCATTTCAATTGAGCACTGTAAGATCATGGTCACAAAGCCCTATGGATGAAAGGAGAACAAAATTAAAGTCTTGAAAACAAGCCTAACTTATAAACAACTGCCCTCAAGTTTCTAAAATATTTCTGGAAAATTTCTTTCTAAAAGGATATACCTCCCCACCAACCACACAAATTAGAATGAGTAAAACTGGGGAACGGCGAATAAGTCTGGTGGACTGTGCCAATTGGTGGATTGTGCCATAGAAATAACCAGTTGTAACATTATAGTTTTGCAAAATATTACCATTGGGGGAAACCGGGCAAAGTGCACAAAGAATCTATATTATTTCTTACAACTACATGTGAACCTATGATCTCGAATTAAAAAAAAATAAAAAAAGTATGTACCTTCTAAAGTTTCTAGGAATTTTGGATAAATATATACATGTGTGTGCATATATATTTTAAAATTTCAAAAAATTGATATAATTCACATACCATAGAATTCATTATTTTAAAGTGTACAATTCAAGAGTTTTTAGTATGTTCACAAAACTTACAACCATTACCACTATCTAAAATTCTAGAACATTCCGTTAGCAGTCACTACCATTCCCCCACTTCACTGGGACACTGGAAACCGCTAATCTTTCAGTCTCTATGGTTTGTTTACATCTACCTTAATGCAAAAGTTAAAACAACTGGGAAGTTTAAATGAAATATTTTCAAATCCTGCTCAAACTCCAAATTACAAAGCATCAGAAATTTGACAGGGACTCACCGCATCTGAGTTGATCAAAGAGCGCTGGTCTACTGATGTGGCACCTGAAATGTGGGCCAGCGCTGCTGCCAGGGCTTCCACAGCGCCCTTCTCCTCTATCAGCTTCTCAGCTGACTGCTTAAAGTGACTAATGGCAGTGGGAGGCACAGAATCCAAAAGCCTAGTTTGATTGAGAGTATATTTGTCAAGAGAAAGGATAGCAGAAGTGGACAGATTCCATTCTCAAGAAAACAGCATCTCAAGATAAATCAATAACTTTCAAACCACATCTTTCATATGCCTAATGCATCATTTTGATGCAATGTACACAGTCACACTTCTGTAGTAATAAATCTATTCCTTTGATTGACTCTAATTCTAATTGACCACCAATCCTCCCCCCAGCAAAAAAAAATTTTATCCTAAGGAAATAAAACAGATATTAAGATGTTTATCACGGTGTTACAGAAAAAGAGTGTAAACAATTTTAAAATGTACGTCAATATAGAATTAAGTTCTTTTCATTTGCAGAACTTTCCCAAGCTATTAATATGCTAATTAATACCCAGCATTTCTTTTGATCGTGAATCCCTCCTATTTTTTTAAAATAAGCATGTCACATATTTACGATAACTGTGGAAAGCACTTTAAAAATGATGTTCAGTCTCTGGTTCTAAGCCGGGGACATTTGGAGAACAGGGCCTTTTTGTTTTTCATAATGCCAACCCCACTCACCCCTAGGGATACATATTGCACAGCCAGGCATGCTTAACAGCTAAATATCCTTCAATTTGTGAAGACAATCCCATACAATAAAAGATTTTCTTGCCCCCAATGCCAGTAGCACCTCCAATGACAAACACTGTTAGTTGATGTAATCCTCAAAATCTAGATATTTACTATAACTTAAAAAAAGCAACTCTCATTTCTCCCAAGTGGGGAACTGTATTAATGAAGATTTAGAATATAATCTGTGATCCCATCTAATCAATCTCCAGATGGGAAGCACCTACACTGTATCTAAGATACAGTTCCTTAAACTGCCCAAGACAAACCAAACTATTATTAGTGGTTTCCTCTGGTGAGCAGGCATGAGTAGAAATGAGGATTTTTACTTTGTATAACTTTACTTCAGCACAGTCTGAGTGCTTTTATAACAAGTGGGTTATAAATTATTAATAATAAATAAAGAAAATAAAATTTAAAAGGCCAAATCTCATTACTACACAAAGACATGCAATTAACAGAACAAGCGCTAAAACAGACCATAGCAGCAGTAGAGAACACACCTGATGGCATCTTTGCTGGAAGCTTTTATTATTTCTGTTGCAGAAGGAACACCTATTCGTTTAAATTTAATTCCCTACAAGAAAATGAACCATAATTTAATGTACAACGTGGCCATTGTTTCCTTTGAGATTAGCAGTCCTTTAATTTTTTATATTTACCAAACATATTTATTACATATTTATAAGATAAACTTTATATTTGAGAATGGTTTTAGATTTACAGAGAGTTTCTATGTACCATGTACCGAGTTTCCTTATTGTTATTACCATGGTACATTTGTCCCAACTAAGAAACCCATATTCCTACATTACTATGAACTGAACTCTAGAGTTCATTCGAATTTCACTAGTTTTCCTACTAAAATCCTTTTTCCGTTCCAATACCCAGTCCAAGATACTACATTACATCTAGTCATCATGTCTTCCTAGTTTCCTCTGATCTGTAGCAGTTTGTCATTCTTTGTTTTTCATGATCTGGACAGTTTTAACGAGTACCGGTCAGATATTTTTAGACTATCCCTCAATTTGAGGCTGTCTAATATTTTTCACATGCTTAGACTGGAGCTATGGGTTTGGAGGAAGAAGAGCAGAGGTCAATGCCATCTTATCACATCTTAACAGGGGTACATGCTTATCACTGATGTCAACCATGATTACCTGGCCAGGTAGTATAGTGCCAGCCTGCTTTCTGCACTCCCCCTACCCCCCACATTCCTATTCTATTCTTTGTAAGCAAATCACTAAGTGCAGTCCACTCAAAGAGAAAGAGGGAGATTAAGCTCCACCTCCTGGAGGAAGAAGTAGCTGCTTAAGAATCTCATTACAGAAGAATTCTGTAAGGAAAATTAGTCTCTTCCCTCCCACTTTAAAATTTATCCTTTTCACATATTCTCATCCTTTTGGTTTTCAAGCAATTCCTATAACCCCTTACTCTATGTTTAAATATTTTTGGTGTGTTCATGTTATCATTGTCTGAAAACTGCCTTTCAAACATAAAAACACTCCTTATAACTGTATACATGAAAACAAAACCACTGCTTTCAAATGCAAAGTTATTTCAAAATGTGTTTTATATCACAGAACAAAATATAAAATATGTATCTAATAAGCTTTCACAGTCATGGCCACATGATGGAAAGAAAAATAATTTAAAGTTAGTAAAAAAATTGAATAAAGAAACCAAACGCTGACTTTATAACTCAACAGTTGCTAAGTAAAGCTAAGAAAATAGTTTTACCGCTTTTTGCTCCACTTGTGCTAACTGATATTCTTCCTTGTGCTGATAAAAGCAGATGCAAATCCCTGTCCTTCCAGCTCTACCCGTTCGCCCAGAACGATGAATGTAGGACTCCACATCCTATTGAAGTAAAATATATGAGTGAGTGACAATGAACAAAAAAGAGACAAAGACTTGAGCAGTCTTCATAGAGGCAAGTGTGGTGGTTATATATGCGAGGAGGTATAGGGAAGTTCCTTAGCATTTCAATGTAAAGAACTGTGACAATTTTTAAAAACGTTTAGAACAATGGCCTCTATCCTGTGGACAAATCTACAAAAAACATAGTGCTGTTCAACAGAACCATAATATGTAATTTCAATCTTTAATTTTCTAGTAAAGACACTAAAAAGTTAAATCAATTTATAATTAT